GGAATCCAGACGTTAAAAAAGTTGTGTGGAATTTTGAAACGAAAATTTGTTTTGATGTTTAGGCGTTTGGCAAAAAAGATGTGTAACCCTTGTGCGCTTGCTTTCCTTGCCCAACCGTAGCTGAAATACCTTGTAAAGATGTTTGTGTCTCCATATTTCTTAAAAGCTTGTCTGCGGTTTTTTAACAGAAGCAATACTAAAACTGTTTCAGTCCCGTTTACATGTAAAAGATTGTGTGACCATCAAATTGCACGCCTTTGCATGTTGGCTTTCACTGACTTCTTGACTGGAAGCAGTCATTGTAGTTGCCGCTACGGACTGCAGATACAACGTGATTTGTGCATTTATCACCCCATTCTAAAATTTTCAATTCAGAGCCCGAAGACTCAGACAAACAGACCTCTTGTCCCAGTGATCGCAACTTCTACTTCCATTGTAGTCCTTGCTGACCCTTGAGTATAATTTGGTGTATAAGGGCAACATTACATATTGGAGGTCACCAAGGCTATTTGTCATTTACCATGGGTATCAGTTTTCACATTATATCATCCGTTGCTCTATATATTTGACGGCTGAAAAGTAGTTTTTTCGTATTCTGTGGCCCCTTCACCGTGTCTTTGTTGACAGATTTGAGGGATCTTTGTACTGTTAAAGTTCTGCGAATATTGCTATGTGTATCTTCAAAAGTCAGTTTGGCTGAACTGTCTATTGGAGGTTTGAGAGCGTACTGAATTTCGATTACGTAAAGCCGCATAGACACCACCTGCATGACAAGGAACTCGCATTCCGTGGTCCTCTTACAGAGCGCGTTTTACTTGCCTCTTTCCTACTTGTGTCAGTCTTTCGGCTTTTGTAGTTTCTGCTTAAGCTTACTCGAATACGATAAAACCCAGGTACTTTAAACTATTTTAGGAACAAGACAGACACTTGATCCGCTAATCATCCCTATTGTTCTTTTGCAGAGGGGTTGTACGATGACTTTCGAGCATCCGGAATCTATCGAGACAATTGCACTCTGCATCTTTCATCCCAACTTTCAGTGAGTAATACCCTTTTATTTATTAGCTATTCAATTTGTCTGTGTTTTTTTCCCTTTACTTAGCTAGCACCTTGTTTTATTTTAATCGACACACTCCATCGGAATTCATTTTTTGGTTGTGCGTAGTAAAACGGACACGTTTAATTCTATCATATCTAATATATTGCATTCAAAGCAGGCGCCTAGTAGTCATCTGAGGGATTCTAAATTTATTGCTTAGGAAATTCTGATTGGGCAGTCAGCTTACGATACTCCAACTAAAGGATTCCCTGCATTGCAGTAGACTTAGC